GGAACACAGCAAAAAAATTAAGTAGGTCCTCTCTTCCCCTGGTCTGTGGGTAGGGGCCGATCCAGGGCAGAGAGTAGATCTCCTAGCTGAGCCAGGAAGACTTGCCTTCAGTGCTGGAGTGGGGTTTGCCCGACTAATCATTTTGGTGAGTATTTTAAGTGCCTGACCATGTCTTCTCAAAGCATGATTTGTGCTTGTGTGAAAATGAAAATTTACAGTTTTTAAAAAAACCTCTTTTTTTCACCTACACTACCACTTGTAGGTTCCAAGGAAGGAACAGCATAGAAATATATATATATTTCTTGAACAATCATCTGGCTGGTGTTACTTTTTTCTTTTTCCTCCATTTAAATCCAGTTCCATTCTGAAGGATAAACAACAAAATCAGACAGTGTCTATTAGGTCAAATCACATGAAAATGCCTTTTTGTAAATAAAAATGATGGAATATTGACAATTTTGAATGGTTCACCCAAATCAATTGGACTCATAATAACAGTTTCTACTGGTTGGACAGAAAAATTGCAATTAATGAAACCACTCATTCCTACGTGACTGAGCTCAGAGAAGCCTCGTTCTGTCGTGTTAGACCTATACTGTGGCTTTCAGTCTGTCATTTCAGCACCAACAGCTGGCCAGTCTTTTCTAGAATAGCTACCCTCTGGATTCTGTTTTGATCTAGCTTATATTGCTAACTTTTGATTTCAGGATTTCTGAACAGTTTCCAATATCCCTTAGAAAACATTTGAACTGCTAAATCACTCCCCCGGCTGAATGAAGTGAAACCAAGTTAAGTGACAGGTTGAGGTATTTGGACAACAAACTCAAATTCATGCTACTAAGAATCATAGCTGTCCACAGTGATTGATTCCCTGGGAAACGGCTGAATTTTCTATTTCATTGCATTTGAATACATTGTCTGAATTAGACGTGGGTGAAAAGCTCTCGCTTGTTGTCCTGAAGAAAACTGTGGTGGAAGGCAAGCCATGGAGAAAGAATTCACATTTGCTTGGTGATTACTGTCCTGGGCACCGTCATGAACAATTTAAAGCCCCTAATTTCATTTAATCCTCACAGCAGCTCTGAAAGGTTAGTATTATTATCACCTTCAGAAGGATGCAAAAACGGGTTCAGAGAAGTTTAGCAACTTGCCTGAGATCACACAACTCGCAAGGAGGTGGAGCCGGGAGGGGAACCCAAGTCTGCCTGGCTCTCAGCTGTCGTGTTCTCCCCACTGTACCACACAACAGACCCATCAAATGCCCATCTATTGGTTTTATTTTCATAGATGTTTATTTCACATTTTTAAAAAATTATAAAGCAAGCAAACAAAATGAGAAAGACAGAAAAGAGAAATCATTTCTTTTGATACATCCCAAGACTTTATTTTGGGAGAAAGAGACCAGTGTGTTTGGGGATGCCACCGTCAGCCCAGCAGACGGATCACCTTTGCCTGTCAAGCCTTGGCTAGAAAAGCATGTGTTTAAAGCAGGGCTCTGTAGAAGAAGTATCGAGTTCACTGCTGCCCTTGCTTCTCTGAATCACAGTGCTGAGAGGTGGTCCTCTCACTGGATCCTACCGGCTTCGCCAGTTTCATCTCCACTGGGGCTCGTCGGATGATCACGGCTCGGAGCACATCGTGGATGGGGTCAAGTATGCTGCGGAGGTAGGAGAGGCTGCCGTAACCCACTCTCGATCTCACACGGTGAAAACAAAAAATAAGGGCAGAATAGCACACACTGTTTTTGCTTCAAGCCTGGAGTTGTGAAAAGAGCTGCAGTAGGTTTAGCATAAACGGAAGCTGCCAAACATGCTGGTCTAGGCAGTTAAAGGGATGTAGGTGAGTTAGCATCGTGCATGAAGACTCTAGAGGTTATATTTAGAACTTGGCCAGCAGCTTAATAAAAGAAAAGCCAAGGTCCCAAATGGAACCGAAAGGACAGGGATAAGTAACACTTATTAAGAGCCTACAAGCGTTAAGTCACTTGATCCTCTCAGCACGCTGTGAGATGGGTTACAGATGAGGAAACTGAGGCATGGGAGAGTTACATAACAAAGTCACACAGCCTCAGTGGTAGACCTGGCGCTTTACCTTATGCAGACTGGCTTCATGGTCCGTCTTGTCTAGTGCCTTAACTGCCTCTTTTACAGGAGTATGGTGCTTTAAAAATAGCGCTTAGTAATTCTGGCCAAGCTCATGAACGGTGTTGAAGGGGGTATATATGTGTGTATATGTGTGACTCTCTATATGTACCTAAGTACTTCTACACACACAGATGGATACAGATACACACATGATTTAATATGAGCAAATACTGCTCTCTGTTTCAGTTAACCCATTAAAGAAAATTCATGATTTTTAGCTGAGATCAAGGCATCAAGTTACAAGGAAATAAGACAAGCCTGCTGCATGTTCTCTGTATCAGGCCAAGCCTCCAAGGGGTGACAGATGCCCTGAGGTGAGGATAATTCCATGTGTACTTCCAGACTCTTTCCCAGAGACAGGCTCTGGTCAACAGAGGAGCTGGGACAGGAAGCTTGGAGGCACTTACAGACACTCTGCTAGGCAGATCACTAGGCAGCCTTTATTTTTTTTTTAATTGAAGAATAATCAGTTACAATGTGTCAATTTCTGGCATACAGCGCAATGTCCCAGTCATGCATATATATATACACATATATTCATATCCATATTCTTTTTCATTAAAGGTTATTACAAGATATTGAATATAGTTTCCTGGCAGCTTAACTGTTGGTTAAACTAAACTGGAGGAGACCCAGAGATCTTGCCTGTGATGATTCCATTTCTCTACAACCCACCCAGAAAGCCAGTGACAGGAGAAAGTAATTGAGAATGGCTTCCAGACACCTTCACCCACAAATAGGGAAAGCCTAGAATATTCCTTACGAATGTGGGCACAGCTTCCAGCTTGGCCAAGCTGGGATGATCTCATACTTTTCATCTTGAATCAAAGAATTTTTAACTGCTCTGAACTATTGTATTCTCTTGCCATTCTCTAAGGCAAAGTGGGAAGTTTGACTAATTTAGCCAGTACAAATGTTAGCACTTTAACCTCATTAAGACGAGTTTACCACCAGGTTCTAGGACAGTTGCTGCTGAAAGGAGATGGTTATCAAACCGCCCAAGGATGTGTCTTCTTGTTTTCCCCCTCCTTCTCCCAATTAATTGTGACTTTAGAATGTTAGCAGATTCCTGCTTACAGCTCTGTGTTTCACTGTTTGATTTGGTCAGAAAGAGCCTCCTTTATACAAACTAAAATACATATTTTGAATTGGTCTAATGTAAGTTCTGTTTTCACTGATTCCACCTATCATAACTTTGTATTTGAACTATTCAAAGTTTCACCAAACTATTGCATGTTAATTTTCAGAATTCCATCAACTTCTCTGAGAGAGTTCAGCAACCACAGATTGTATAATTATGGGGGTTATTGTGAACAATTTTATACTTATTCCCTTATTCTAGGAATTTACCTCATAACCTCTGTTCTGTGGTTTCAGCTCCATTTGGTTCACTGGAATTCAAAGTATAACAGTTTTGCAAGTGCTCTGAAGAAACCTGATGGAGTAGCTGTGATTGGCATTTTTCTGAAGGTAAGGTAAAAATTGACCATATTCTTTTCGAAGTTGAATTCCTTATCGATGCTTAAGTTTCGCTCCCTCCTTATATTTAATGGAGAGAGAGGAATGAATTTCAGTATTCATTCAGCCAGTCAAGGTATTTCTTCTAAGATCAGCTCAAAATATTTTGCTCTTCCTTAAAAGTGTACCTTTGGTCATACTCCAGTACCCCTAGCACTTCTAAATGTTCTCAGGATTCAGGATGTGTGTGTGTGTGTGTGTGTGTGTGTGCCCGCGTGTGTGTATGTGTAGGAGTGGTGGGGATGGAGCCTTTGAAGGAGCTTATGATGGTGAAGGTGAAGGCATGGGCAGTGTTGTTCTTTACCCTTTCCGCTTCTCCACATCAATTGCACTGGAAACCAGAAAAGCCAATGTTGGGAACCACTGCGATGCCAAGTCCCTGGCTGGACGTTCCTACGGCTTAGGGTGGCCACCACTCACATGACCCCAGGCTAAGATAGCACCTGGAATGTGTGTGTTGTTGAGCCAGCCATGGTTTAGAGAGGACTTAGTGTCATTAACACATGAACCTGGTGGTAACATAATCTAGATTTCAAGCCGGAGGTGAAAATCTATCTTCTTTATTTTTGAATGACCTAATTTGTTTTATGTTCTGAATTCATTGGGTCATTCTGAGTGCTTGAACACAGTATTACAGGAAGTGGAATTGAGTGAGTCTGAGCAGAAAGACAGTGAGTCTAGTGTTGGTTACATTGAGTCCATCCTAGCTCTAATTTGATTGAAAAAGAAAGTGAAATGACTTCACAGAGAAGGTCAAGGACGCAGAAGTAAATCAACATGTAATTTTGTGGTTTTGTACTTCAGAGGCTTGGAGTCCAAGTTTAGTTCAGAAAATACATACTCTAAAATCGCGGTGGGGGGAATAAACTTATGTTTTTGCTTAGTACGAGATATGCTGGCAGATTTATAAACACTAGTTGAAGGTGGATGGATTAAAATCAGTTTTTAAGACAATCCTAAATTATGGAGAAGAGAAAATATAATTGTTGGTTTTCTTTTGTTCTTCCTTTCTTTTCTTTCTTTCTTTTTTCTTTTTCTTCTTCTTTTTTTTTTTTTTTTACAGATAGGACGTGAGAAAGGCGAGTTCCAATTGCTCCTTGATGCACTGGACAAAATTAAGACAAAGGTAAAAAACAACAACAACGACCCATTTTCCCTCCTAGGGCATAAAGCAGAATATGGCAGTTTTTCTCTTTTATATTTTCAGGTGTTTTTCTTTCACCTAAAATCTATTACTAAGTTTGACTAATATGTTAAGCATATATATGAAAGCAAATGCTATTATATCTGTATGTATATTTGTATAGTTTATAGTTTTTAGAACAATTTCATGTATATAAGCTTACTTAATCTTCATAATCAGCCTGTTAGATAATTACATTTTTAAGGACGTGTTTGAGAAAGAGGTGGAGCGGTGTTCCCTCACCAAACACACACACGTACACATACACACACTCCACACAGACCCCACATGCACACACATTTGTAGAGGTACCAAATGTTTGGATCCTAGTGTTGTCCCTTCTCTCCTGAACAGCACCTGTATGTTTTACTTTATTTTTTAACACCTTTATTATGGTATGATTCCTGTACAGTAAATGACACATACTTCAGATGTACAATTTAATGAATTTTGATATATGTATATACACCTGTGAAACTACCGCCACAATCAAGATAGCTAACATCTCCATCACTCCCCAAGAGGGCATCTGTATATTTTAAATCTTAACAGTAGATTTCTTCTGCTTAACAGACTCATTTTAATTGCCTTTGAGGCTGTTCGAATCAAACACTATATAGCTTTACCACCAGAGAAAGTAAGTATTCTTCTGAGTACAACGTTCGATAAAAATGCAAGTGAGCTTTGTACCATCGAGAATCCCAGCATTAACCTATATGAAATACTTCTGTTCCAGTTTAGAATGAGTTTCTACTTGTTTTCCTTGAGAAATGATAGTTTTATAACTCTACCTACAGTGTATAAGGAATAAAATGTTACAGTGACTGTGCCAAAGTCATACCATGCCAAGCGGCATCCCTTCTCGGCCTTTTATTTCTGAAAGGAGCGTACTTGGTTCCCAAGCTCGGTTTTCTCTCTTGCATCTGAAATCCATCCTCCCCAAACGGTGGGATGCTTGGGGCGGGCGGTGCGCATGCGCCGGCTCACCGCGCGGGGCGCTGTGTCCGCTCGCAGGGCAAGGAGGCGCCCTTCACGAACTTCAACCCGTCCTGCCTGTTCCCCGCCTGCCGGGACTACTGGACCTACCAGGGCTCCTTCACCACGCCGCCCTGCGAGGAGTGCATCGTGTGGATCCTGCTGAAGGAGCCGATGACCGTGAGCTCCGACCAGGTGAGCGGCGGCCGGCGCCGGCCCTGTGGGCCCGCGGGCTCCGTGTCGCGTGCACGCGAAACTGAACGTGCGCAGCTGCTAACCGGATGCTTGCCGAACCGCGCCTCGAGTGTGCCCTGGTTAATTCCGATCAGCCTGTTGAACTTCCTAAAACTGGACTTCCAAAGGGTACCAGGCTAAACGCAGAGCTTGTCAAGGTGGTGGCGAGGCTGAGCAATAACCGCGTTTGTGTTCTGCAAGCACGTAAGGGCTCAGATGCATATGGGTTAGTCTTTGCTGACTTGGAGGACTGCCAAATACTGAGCTCTGGTTAGGAGATGGGGTGAGAAGTACAGGCCTGGGGAGAAGGTGCCGATGGAAGGGACTGAACATCCTCGGGGGGTGTATACTCTTTCTCCAGTTTCATAGCTAAGTAAGTAGAGGCTCAGAAAGGTTAAGTAATTTGCTCATGATCACACAGCCAAGTGCAGGGTCCGAGATTCCGTCCGCCGCCTGGCTGCTTCCGGTACCTTTTAACCTCTCTGCCCAGGCCTTGCTTCTAAGTGTTCATCTAAGCTGACTCCATAAACTTATACGGTGACGGCCGATTGAGTTTCTTATTTGCACTAATGCTGTCATCCCCTTCCACATAAGGAGTAGCTTTCATACTGACCCTCGATTAAAATAACGCTTTCAGAATTCGAGAGGAAAAGATTTTGACCAGAGGGCAGGGTGATCCTGTGTGAAAGGAAGCAAAGTGTTTTTATGCAAATGCAGAGAAGGTTTCTATTACTCCGGAACTGGTAACCACCTAACTCTGGACTGAGCGTCGGAGCCAGGTTTTGTGGTTCGCGTGTCTTGCTTAGAAACCCAGCGACGTCTAGCTCTTTGGTGGCTTGCTTAACGTGTCCCCGTGGTCTGAATGGCATGCAGACGGTTTCCCCTGCCTTGCAGATGGCCAAGCTGAGAAGCCTCTATGCAAGTGCCGAGAACGAGCCCCCAGTGCCCCTGGTGGGGAACTGGCGCCCTCCGCAGCCTCTCAAGGGCAGGATAGTGAGAGCCTCTTTCAAGTGAGGCCGCGGGAGCTTGCCCTCTTCAGGAAAGGACACCGGCCGCTGCGGAGCCTGGGTCCTCCCTCCTTTTGGTGCTCCTTCCTCCAAGTCTATTTCAGTTTTCCACACTGAGCAGTGAGGGTGAGAGATGCAGTCGCCGAGAAACCACAGTTACTGTTGACAAGATCTAGGACGAAAGCATTTGGCCTTTGTAATAATCATCTTTCCTGTAAAAGCAGCACTTCTAGTAAGGTTTCGAAGAAGAGGAAACAGATGGAAGAACAAAGATGAGAAAAGTGGCTCTTGGGCACCGCTTTTGTGGCATCTTGAGTTTCACGGAACTTCAGTTTTACTATTTTCATATTGTGAGCTGTCTGTCCGTCTTCGAGAAATCATGAGTAATTCTCTATGTAGGAGTAGAGGTGTATGAAGATCACATAGCAATTCAACATAAGCCAGAAATTAAAATGACTGTGGACTCCAAGAATTGAGAAGATGATGCGTTTAACCCTTAAATGAAACCAACAAAAGGCCCATCATTTATTAAAATTTTAACTACTATAAAGATTGCCTGGTTTTGATTATCTATGAAAGTTAAACACATTTGACCAGGTGTTTAAACCAGTCTGACCTGATACCTGAATTTTTTTCTGCCTAAAGATGGTTGACTTTACCCTATTATCTTTCTTTACCTGAAGGAAGGCCATTCATTTTTCATTTTACTCCTTTTATCTTTGCATGCTTATTAAAATAAAAGCTGCCTCTGATATCTTCCTAATGTGAGGGTGGGGTTAATGCTTCCCAGAACACATGGGAGTGAATGACCGCAGTTGTACTGATCACCAAAACTAATAAAGCCGTGAATGCCAGAAGTTGAGTGTTGTGTTTTTTAAGGAGGGCGAACTTTGTTAAGTTTGCTTTTATAACTGAAAGGTGGCGCTAATGGACTCCAGTTCTGAGTTTGGTTTGACTGGACGCTACAGACATTCTTTGCGGTGTGATTAGTGGAAGTCTTGTGAGGAAACTGCAGACAAGAAGAGGAATGCTTGGGTAGATGTTTGAGAGTGTGGATTAGTTTCCAGAGGCCTCAAAGTTGGTTTAGGATTTGGAGGTCCATGCCAGTACCATGGTTGCTAATTTAGTGGCATGAAGTCAAGTCAGACTGTAGCCTTGAAGTCCTTATTTTTTAAATGTGCATTGGGATGACACCAATCTAACCCTGCAAAACTCTATACATCGAGACCCTCAAAACATTTAATATCTTTAGACATAAAGTCTGGTTTTGCCGTTAGTGGCTTTGACACAACTTTCATCCCACCACTGGCTAACATGTTAACTTACCACTTTAGAAGATGGCAGCAATGAGCGAGTTACCCCAAGGAATGACAGTGGTGTTGGGTCAGGAGAATCCCACGATGCCGGAAGTCAAGCCATATGACCGAGTCCCAGGAGGCTAACGTTATTTAATAGATTACCACCTGGGCGAAGTAACAGCAGGCTGGTCAGTGCGAACTGGATGTGTTAATTAAATCCCTTGAAATTAGGAGGTGTGGAGCTTTCATTAATTAGTGGTAATACACAAGCTGATTCTCTGAGGGTACTTACTTAGTCCTGCTGGGAGCACTGAAAAAATGTAGCCAGTGTACACACTGTGGGGGGAGGGAGCATAATCGAACTCCAGCTACGGGGGTGCTTACTCAACTGCACAGGCTGAGCAAGGCTGGAGCTGTTTTAAGGGGAAGTGTCCAACCAAAGGAGGGCCTCTCGCTGGGCCACCAGCTCCGTGAGGGCACAGATACAAGTCGCGTACGCTAACATTCCCCTTTTTGCCTCGCACGGTGTCTGGCACATAATAAACACTCAATAAATATTTAATGCATAAATGATGTCATGAAAGTAGCTGAACGCCGGACAAATGCTCCTCTTCTTGAACAGCACATGATTAAGACTCATCCGCTTTTTTGCTCATCTCATTTAGTTAGACCTTTTAGGAAAATGATCTCTCTAGCTTCAGGTGATAGCTTTCCAGTAAAGCATATTCCTTGACACCACCATTCTGAGTCATTGCCCGTGATCATAGTTACCACCCAACGTAAAACTTCCTCCCAACTCCTGCCTGCACTCAAAGTGCTGAGTTATTACAAATGTCCCCTGGAATATTGAAACCACACTTGCGTCCTCCTTCAGTGGGCAGTAGGGCGGGGGGTGTCACTTTCTAATCATGCACAGGCTTCCAAACCGTTGCATTTCAGGCACACACAGCCCACGGAGGGGACGTGGCTAGGAGCTGCTGTGGTGAACGTATTTCAGCACCTGCCAATGTGCTTTTCAGGGTATAATCATTGCAGATATTTTAAAATTTCAACATCGGGCAGAAACTAATTTGAATTAATTGTGTTATAGTAGTCCGATGACTATACCCTTAAAAGTCTATGAATGGGGCAGTAAGAATGTACTGAATATTGGGCACTGTTACATTCTGAGAGTGCAAATACAGTTCCTACCCCTTTAATGGGGAAACAATATATTTATGAAGAGGTAAATAACTACTCAGGACCACTGGTCCGAAATTCTTTACGTGCTATCACTATTTACTAGACGAATAGGAAGTATTCCACATAGAACATGTAAAAAATAAACAACTGTGGGTGAAATGAAATAACTAGGGGTGAAGCTGATCAACTGTAAAGCTTGGATACATGTGAAAAATTTACATGTCAGTTATTCAGATAAGAATTGGCACAAAACATTGTTCTAAAAGAAATACATAGATCCAAAACCACAACAGAGACCACACATAAATAAAATTAATTAGATTTTAGTTTCTCCTCTAATGCTTTCTTATTTGCTGTTAAAGAGCAAATTGTATTATTTTAGCTGAGGAAAAGTAAGTGAGAAGAGGTAAGAAAAAAAAAGTAACTGCAAATGTCATACTTTTAGAATTTCAGATTTAATATATGAAGAGTTAATGATTGTTTAAACTACCCCTAAGGAAAGCACTTAAAGACTTAAAATGCAAATAAGAAGGCAAAATCAAGTTTCATGTTATTTTCTTTTAGATCACTAGATGATGGCAAAACATTTAAAATTTTTCATTTGGGGCACTAGATGGCAGCAAAATAATTACAAAAATGACACATGAAACGCCATTTGCAGAGCAATGAGGATTTA